TAAGAAACGAAAACCGTATTCTAAGGGTTAGAAGGATCCGTTATAGATTTTTTGTAAAAAACGTCAATCTGATACGGAAACAGAATTACTGATAAAATACAACTTAAAAACTCAGTGAGAAATAGTATAAAAAGTTTAATATTCCATTTATTCTTCTTCACTGTTGAGATAACATTATCTAGATAACATAAAATTGTTCGTACAATCTAAATATTAATTAAGTTAACAGTTAATTAAAAAAACATTTAAAATGTATTTTTGCCATTCATTGTGATTTTTTTTATCGATTATGGTTAATAGAAATTATACTAAGTAACTAAAAAAATTGTAAATGCTGAACAATCGACTAAATTAAATCGTGTGTTAAAATTTTGACAATTAAATTAATGTGATCATAAAACCCTTTTAACAAAAAATACAGTAAAAAGAGCAAAATAGATTTTTAAATAATATATACACGCCGTATGAATATTATTAATCATGAAAACTGACGTTATAGAGAGAATATACCATAAAAATTTGCATGGTACATGTACCAAACAACCCTAGCGTTACTCAGCTCTCTGATTGCCAGCGTTATGTTGGAAACAGATTGATTAATGGGATTGTTCCGCATGAAGAATCTTTCGCGTTTTTCGTACTTGATATAGACGCAGCCTGTCAAATTATCATTAAATACTTCACTGTTTCCTCATAAAACAGAATATTTTTTATCATTCAATTGCTTCAATCACGAAACACAAGGCATTTCAACACCTTCAAATGAAAAAATTCTAACGCGATTTGTTGGAAAAATATTTTTATTTCAGTTTAGTTTTGATTAATAGTTTTTTTTTAATTACATTTATATCGAAAAATATCTAAAAAATAGTAATCATTTACGCAGAGTTACAGAAAATGAAAAGGTATTAAGTACTCAAACTGAAAAAGTAATTGTTAAATTAGGATTTCTAGTTGGACTTATACCATGTAGCAAAAATTTCATTCCCTTAGATGAAAAAGTACTTCAACTAATTTGTATTAACACGGTATTGTATTTTCTAATGAAAATTGAAGATTAATACTTTACTAATAATTATTATTGTTTGTGGAACTTATTTTATAATCTATTTTTGATAAGTATAGTTATATTATTTCCAAGTATATCCATTAATATTAATGACTTTTAAAATTGTATCTTAAATCATTAATCATAAATTGTCTAAGAATATTTTAAAAATTTAATTTACTTGTTATGTTAATTTATTTGTATGTTAATTAAATTAATTAATTAATAGTAATTGCTAATTAATTGTCATATATTAAGGTATAAATGTCAGTATCACTGAAACAGAATCAAACATTCGCTGAAATCAAAAAGGCTCTAAATTATAACATAACAAAATAAAAAGGATTTACACGTAGATCAATTTCATTCTCGTCGTCATATACCAGTAATTAATCATTTACTCAGCTTTAATTAACACATAATAATTATATATTTATAATTTTTAATCTAATTTCATCACATTCAATACAAGATTTTGTATATATAATTAAAATACCAAAGATTTCTAAAGACTAGTTACAAAAAAAATCACTTTGAATTAAAAATCTTTCTCTTGAAATGTGTAAAAATTCGCGTTGGAACATTTTCGTTATACAATGTTCTCAATATTTCCTTTAATCTCACCTTGTGTCTCAACATTAATCGAGATTAGATAAATGCAGGAAGCTTTTAAGAAAATCACTGAAAATTTTATATATATAGGTAGATTGTTGGACTTGTAATATCAAACGCTAGTGTAATGTGATCATTTATCCAACGTATAGGTTTTTCACGTACAAATCGCCAATTCGAATATGCTATTGCAAAAAGCCTCTTATGCACATCAACAAATATTAGTTAAAACTCTATAACAAAACAGCAATGGGAGTAATATAATCGTGAGAAAGTAATACTATAGCTAAAGGAGTTGTTGACAAAACACTTAACATAACGGATTAATTAACTGGTGGGTTGAGCTTTGTTCGAAATGTTCTAGACTAAATGGTTTTAAGCAAATCGATAAGATTTAGTTACCTATCTTATTTTTAATATTTTTTAATCTTATTCAAGATATTACATGCTCAACTTTTACATTTTATAAAATACATTCAATATCATTAAACAACCAATTATCGAGACATTAGTGTAGTGAAATTGCCTGTACAGAGCGCCGTCACTATTACGTATAATTTTTTGTTTTGGTGACATTTTACAATTTAAATTAAAAAAGTCATCTTTTTTAAATGGAATCAAACACCAGGATAGTACTTTTGGTTAAAATATGATATTAATTGATTAATTAATAAAAATTTAATAATTATAAAATCGGTCATAAATAGATCGTTGAAAAATGAGGAACTTTGTAGATTATATTTTTATACTTGAAATACTCACAAATACAATGATTGTAAACAAGAGTTGACAGGGTTAATTTAACAGGAAATAAATTGAATAGGAAGAGCTATAAGTTATTTTACGATTAAAAATGGTTGAGTTGAAATGTTTTTTATAATAGAAAATTCAGCACAGTAATTATACCAACGTATTGATTTCTATACGATTTAAAAACCAAAGACGATCAGTACTAAAGATAGCAAACCTTCCTGTTTACTCGTTTGTCTGTTATTTAGTTTACCGTTAAAAAGAGGATCGTAAGATGGTACGTAGGACATTATAATGGGACCCTTATTGACAGTGGAAGACTAATGACTAAGCCCAAGTTCTATACAGTAACATTGCTTTCAACATTTTGTAGCTGAATTCGGGTCCCTTTTTGGTTAAAATATATATTTAGAAAAATGATGTAATGACATAGTATTTAAACATTTTTTGGTGGTTACAAGTATTTCTTGTTACAAAAGATAATTCAAATTCTAGTCGCTTTTTGTAATTAAACAACAACAAATCATAATAATTGATTATAATTAATCTGAAAAGAGCTATTTTGAATAACAGTTTTAATAACCTAAATTCTTACTACATTCAACACTGTAGAATATAGTCGTCCACGGTGGAAATAAAAACACCATTCAGGGTCATGATAATAATTACAAATGAGCGTTTCGACTACAGTAGTAAATTCATCATCAACGACAATTCAACACCATACATATATATAAATTGTTCTATACGGTAGTCTGTAAGGGTTGCGTCACTAATAAGACGATACGAGATTAAAGAGCTAATTTTCCGCCGTGAAGCACCAAGATGGTTTAATTCCGAAAACAGGGTCGAAATTAAACCTTAAATCTAGCCAAATCTCGGGCAGAGTTTCTTAAGTATTTCCCTTTGTACTCTCTTTCTTTCCCATTTTCCTTTGGTTCTCACCAACGACCCTACAGTTTCTTCCTCCCCTCTCCTAAAACTTCCATTTAGTTTTTTTTCACAAATCTACGATTTCGTATTTACTGTAGGTAAAAGAATATATCTCTCCATTTCAATTCAAATACGCTGTATAAGAAACGCTCAGTAAATCCTATTCACGCCATGTGGGCACAATAATAATAATAATAATAATAATAATAATACAACAAGTGGATTATTATTATACAACGCACATAGTAATATGTATTCTTTGCCCTCTATTCGTTGATACGAAAAATCTGAATCGTCTCTGGATGGAAAATAACATAATTTTTTTTCTCGTAAACTTTATGTTTATATTATTTTTTTTCGCGATAATATTATTAAGAAAATAAAAGAAAAAACATGGGGTGAAGTATTTTGTTGACTGGAATAAAATATACTATATTTATATTTATTCGCAAACGAATACTCAACAAATTAAATTGGCTTAAGACTGACAGAGTAGGCATCTCTAAAAGAAAATAAAATAACCAAAGCATTGCCATCTAAAAATTATATGGCCACCCACCCAACAAAGTTATTGTTTTTTCTTAAAAAGACCATTAAGTTCAATGGAGTTCCTTTTCATTCAATCAGTAATTTATGGCCCGAACCCCACCCAATCTGTTGTTCTTTTTGCTACCAAACTAGCATTACCGAAATTTATAATCAACATAATTTATAAGGAATCTCCTTTCTTTTCTGTGACATCCCTCTCAGAATCACCTCTTTGCAAGAAAAGTTATAACATTTAATGTCAGTAACATTAGTAAATATAAAATAGCCATTACTAATGTGTAGTTAATTCTTATTTTTCATGTAATACCGGTTTGAATATTAACTGATACGTTAACACTTATAAATACAAAGTTTATTCTCAACTCAATTTTTTTAATGTCATTGAGCATTTATTTCTTTTTTAATGTTGAAAATAAATAAAAGAAAACATAACTTTTATTTAAAAAATTACAGATCAAGAGGTTTTTTCACTATTGTTTTTATAATCTCACGTAGTTTGTGTTTGTAAAAAATATTAAGGGGATTCACAAAATTAGTCACTATTTTATGGTAAATGGTATTAGTTCAAACAACATTAAAAGATGGCGATGACGTTGCCACTTTCAGTTTGAACAATCCAACATCGTTCATACAGATTTATATTTTTGCGCTTTTATTTTGGTAGGTCTTTTATAAAGAGACTGAATATCCTGCGAGTACACAAACATCCCTCCAGTCATCATTACTCTTAGGTACTAGACCCACCCAAGGAGACGAAACTACGGCCTTCAAAATGAAAACTGTCATATATATATATAATCTTTTTCAGTGGCAAATAGAAAATATTTTTCTCTTCCCCTTACATGTTTTCTACCGCTTTCATAGGCCAATAATCGGCAATGAAGACAATAAATCAAACGCACACAACGAATTTGTTCATCCAATCTTTCAACACTTTCAGTTTTACCCACTAAACCTTTAGAATACTATGAATGTTGCTTTTGGTTTGCAATATAATTTTATTAGTGAATAAAAAAATACATTATTGATTCTTAAGTCTACTGAATTTTCAAGAAATTAGTAATTCTACAAACGTCTAATTTAGCTTGGCAATGATTGTTACACTTACCTCTATGTCTATTTGTTTGTTTGTCGAACATTAACATGGCATCTTCAATCTGAAACATAACAAAAACAAAAAATCATATGCTATGCTGAAATCATACTGATTAAAATGTTTATATACGTTGAATTCGAAAAATAAACATTTTCCGATTTGTAATATGTTTCATGATAACACTAAATTATTGAATTAAATTGTTTGTAAAGTTTTTAAATAAAAAGGGTTAGAAACACGCGACTGACCCATAGGAAATCCGTTAAATAATATACGATATGATAATTTACACACGGGTTGCCCTTGTGAATTGATACGTGAACCTAAAGTCCATCTGAGGAACTTTTTTCAGTTTTACACACATTATGTATCATTGGTGTACATTTAATATTAATACAGTGTGTACCTATAGATTTCGCTTCATGATCGACGTGTTTTCGTAACTCAACATTCAGTCATAAGTCTATTCACGTATTTTATTTCATTTTTGATGTTGTAATACCATTTAAAAAAAACGTTTTTAAAACATGATTAAACGAATAACAATCCTATAGTCAGTAAATAGTATCAATTTTTTGTGAAAATATTATACAAAAATTAATTAAAACAGTTATTTGTTGGATATAAATATCAAAATAGATTTTTATAGTAAAATAATTGAGTTATTATCAAATTTACTAATCAAAAATGTATGGATAACAAATGAAACGATTGTTTAGTCATTACACAGTTTTAGTATTACGCTGCGCATCGATCAAAGACCATTAGTTTGAAATAAAAACTTAAACATATCAAATTTATTTAATGGATCACGAAATTTGTTTGTTAAGCAAAATGAAGCTCATACAAAATTTTGACGTATACGTTTATCTTGTGTACATATTAACGAATCATTCAAAGTTGCAAATCACTATAAAGTTACAGTCTCATGATAGTTATGGAGATAATGTATCGCTCACAAGAGAGTCATCAATGGTAATTGGTTAATGGATGAAATCCTAAACAAGTCACAGATAAAGTTGCATGTACATTATAGATTACAGTCATTGTACAACTTTAGTTTCAAAATGAATTATTAAAATATAATAATAAATTATAAAATAACCAATAAAAAGTCAGAATTTCAAAATTACTTTAGGAACTATTTGAGTCAGGGCGTTTTTTTTTTTTTTGGAGGGGGAGAAGATTCTAGTACTATGTAACATAATGTTAGTAAAATGTGAGAGAACACTGCTATTTTCATCAACTCTATTTTCCCGTTTTAATACATAATTATATAATAAATATAGAACAATGAAAAAAATAACACTTTAAAGTTAGCAAAAATTAAATGCCACCAAATGTTTGAACGGTTAAGAGAGGACAATGAAGAAAGAAATATAGAAAGGGGTACTACAAAGCAGTGAGATACAAAAAAAAAAATGGGAACAAAAACTTTTGGCTGGTTTTTCTGTGCTGCGCTAAAAGGTTAAGTGAAATAAGTCGAGAACTTGTAAAAACTCGGTGACGGTCTGGGTATGGGAAAATATCGTCGGTTGTCGTTGACGGCGACGAACGAAAAAAAAAAAACAAATCATATTGTGCCGTCGTTGTCGTTATAGGAATTTTTTTCAGAGTATTCAAGTATGTTCACTTCTATCCACGCAGAACGCGCACAGCCTTGCAGACAGTGGTGAACAACTTTGGCGCCATGAGTCTTCTGCTGACCCAACTTTTTGGCCAAAAGAAAAGAACATATCAGGAAAAATAATACACAAAAACATACATATATATTTATACACGTATAACTTTATAATAAATGTTTGTTCTGGTAAACTTTGAATGTGTTATAACATTCATTCAACCATTTGAATTTTGGCGCCGTCATTACATTTAAAGCTTTCCTATGAAAAGCATTAAAAGTTAAAAGAATATTTGATGAACATTGTTTGTATAAATCTCTATTGAGTGAGTATAATGTTTTCGCATTAAAATTGAATCAAATTTTAAACTAAATATCAATATAGTTGATATACAAAAAATATCTTGAGAGATATATTAATGTATGATTTATTTTAATTTATCAGTTTAATAATCTTTAGCGGAAGTAAAACCCAGTTTATATCACACTTAAAGAGCATATAAAAGAGCCTATAAAATTAATGGATCACGCTTCTCAACAGTGTTTTATAAGAACATTTCATTTATCAGCATCGTATAAGAGTACAACGATAGTAAAAATGATCAATAAATCATTTATAGACATTTCAATTAAATGGTTCAACCATGTGGTTGACATCATTTATAAATATAGTCTGAAACCTTAAAAATAATAAAGTATCTTAGTCTATAACAAATCTAATTTAAATAATATTATTTAAAAATTTTACACATCTTATTAGAATAGTATTTGGTATATTTATTTTACAAAAGTGAATAATAGCCGTTTTAAATTTATATCTATTATTTTAAGATCACATATCATTTAATATGTGCATGAAATTCTGTAATTAACAACACAATCACAAGACGTATTATTTAAAATACATTGTTTTTTCTGTTGTCTTTGACGTTTTATTTCGCAATAATATGGAAACGTGTTTGTAAAAAGAAACATAACGACGCACCAGGCCACCATTGGTAAATACCAATTCATTGGCAAAGAACAACTATCACTATTTAAACTTTCACCACTACTCTGTATTGTTTTAATTTTGATTGCATCCATTAATTGCTGATTACTATAACCATGTTCTATAAAACTACCCAAAAAATACACATATTTAATCGTTATAAATTAATGAGTCATAAAAACTGTCAGTTACATTAAAAATTTTGAGTTGAAAAACACATAGGAAAAAAGAATAATCACAATGATCATGAAACAGCACGTTCTATTGCACAAAAAACTAGAAAAACAACACATTGACACGATAGCCGTTGCAGAAAGTCTTATGAGTTAGCCAAACAAAAAACTTTGCTGTGACAATGAAAAACAAAATAAAAAAATTGTTTATAGTAACCAAATGCAGAAAAAACGTTTTATAACTAATATGATTTTTAAATCACTATAGAAAAATAAATAAATTTACGCACTAAAACAATACTGGCGTGTCTATGTATCACAAAACGATAATAATTATGACTATGAGCACAACACATATTATCGCCCCCAAAATTGTCGCCTTATTGAGTATATTAGATTTCAATAATTCGTAAATTGAGTGTTTAAAAGAAACAAACCCAAGTCGTGTTTTATTCACAATCGATTTTCGAAAAAAACATTTACACACAACAATTCATGTAGCTTTCGTTTAACACTCACACATAACCGTCATGTACTACACAGCTATTACTAAGGCCCAGTTTATGACCTGACACTGTAGAGGGTCGGCTTCGCGTTCATACTCGTCGTGGATTCGGAAACCACATTTACCTCGGAAATCACGCGATAAATTCTTCGTGTCCGACCTTCCCCTTCACGCAGCCAAAGTCAAAATAAATACACGTAAAAACGACGTAGGATTCTGATGTTATTACTTTCAATTGACCTCACAGCGGCATCAACGGGGCAGACATTAAAATAGTATGTACACGTTGCAAACTCAACTCGATGATACTCTCCTCCTTTTGCATGCAAAAATTCTACGAACCAAAAATTATCTCTGTTCCGTACCTATGAACACATTTCTCTCGCTCTTTGGTTTGCTCCCTTGTTTTTCGCTAAACAATGATTTCATTTTCACTAGTTTTTTCTCGTTTGTCGGGACATTTTATTTTTTTGTAACATTAATTTTCTACCGGAAAACAAAGGAAATCCTGTTGCCAGCCCCAACGAAGCAATGCAGTGACCCTTTTCCACGAGAAACGTTATCATTCGTTTTCCATGCCATTGAACCGATTTTATTGTGCTTGGTGGGTATTATCAGTATTTTATCCCTACGGTAGACAAACGGTTGTAGTGGGTCTTCTTAATGTTCACCGGGTCAAATGCCAAGACAGGCCAAACGAAATGATAAAAATAAGGTATTTGAAATACAATTACAAAGGCAAAAACTTTATCGAAAAGGTGTACACTGATAGGGTATAATTTTTTACTTCTTTTTTCATCCGGCTGGTGATTAAAAAATTCAATTCTAAATCATAATAATCAGAGTAATTCTATCACTATGGATAGGAAACGACATTGCCGTTATACAAACTGCAATATCTGTTGTAATTGATTCGTAAATTAACGGTTTCGCGATGAGAGTATTTACGTAGTTAAGAATTAAAAAACCATAATATGCTTTTTGAATAATGCTATTCGCATAATATGTAAATAGCACTAAGTTGGAACGTTTAGATCTCGAAGTTTTGTACCCAACACAATTAATTTCCGTCTTAAATTCGTGTTGAGTATTTACATGTATATTAGGCAATGACAACAGTATAACATATAATATTTGGGACCTCTGGGAGATTATAATCGCTACAGTGCGGAAATTCGAGAAGCGACTATCAATATTTACCATTAACTTTCAAGAGGAGATGTGTCACGCGGGAAGGGGCTTAGCAGAATGTCGGGTCATACACAAAGTTATATTGGCAATTAAATAAACGTGCTCTACCCTTCGATGGTTAATCGACAGAGATAGTTGAAAAGAGGGAGTGGCCAGGCAAAGAGTTGTTGTGATTATTATACAGAAATTTAACGCCTCTCCGAAAAGCGTATACCCACTACGAGGCTCTGAAGTGTCGTTTCTTTCATAGCAGTTTACGTGCTCACAACTAGAAATGAGTCAGAATACTTTATGGCACTACCACGGCTCGGGGTAAATTTAAATGAAGGTCATCGTTTGCATACATGTAGCCTAATTATACCGAGGGAAAAGCTTCGGGTCAAATGTGGCAAAATGTTGCGGCCAATGTGCTTTAATGGCTTTGTACAGCAGTTTTTAAGTCATAATAGGAATGAGACCGTTTGGAAAAAACATCATTAGGATGTCATTTAATTTTAATTTAGTTAAAAATAAAAAATGCTTCATGTATTTCAAAAAATAAGGTGTATAACTAAAACATAGTTTTAAATTGTACTACATA